GACCACGGTCCCCAGGTACACTGTGTGCTCATGGTTGCTTCCGCGGATGGCGACAGGAGAGTTTTGATTCTTGATAGGTCGGTAAATACCTTACCTACCTAGGTCGAGGGTAGTAATACCCAGCAATGGCAATGCAAGAGAACTCGAGAAATACGGCACGTTCACCGCTGGACGTCACCTGCTCTCTATTCATTCATTCCCATCGTCTCGCCCATTCAAGGCGGTCGGGTATTGTCGTCACACGTCGCCGTCGGTCTGGTCTGGTCGAGTCAAGTCAAGTCAGGCTGTTGAGGGAGTGATGATGTCTTGCTCTGGTTGCCTCCTTTCCACCTGCTGCTGCTGCGCTATTGGTAGCTCGCGGCCCCCGTGATATTTGGATTACGGCGAGCGGTTAAAACGGGCAACGCCACGCCCACGCCCACGCCCACGCCCACGCCCACGCCCACGCCCACGCCCACGCCCACGCCATGCCCGCCACGCCCATGCCGCGCCCACGCCCCCCCCGTCCCACCCGTCCCACCCGTCCCACCCGTGCAGCCCGTCCAACCCCGACTCGTCCGATCATACTGTACCGTATACCTACCTACTGTAGTACGAAAATCCGAGACAAGACGAAAGAAGTATAGAATAGCATAACATAACAGGTAAAGTAATTATAGTACCGGTAGACCTAGGTGCAGTAGGTCCAGTAGTATACCAATAGTATAGTGAGTATGATATGGTATGGTATGGTTGGTATGGTTGGTATCGTATCGTATCGGTAGTAAAGAAGTACCTACCTGCCTATAGATTCAATCCTCGTCCTCGTCCTCATCATCGCTCCTTAGATTCCACTTTTCCTACTCCGCCCTTTGGCCTTTTGACTCCCATTCCCACTCCCACTCCCACTCCTACTACCTACCTACCTACCTACCTACCTACCGACCGACCGACCGACCGACCGACCGACCGACCTCCTTTCCTCCCCTCCCCTACCCACTCCACTTCCCACTATCCATCCCTCCTTCTCAGCCACTGCTCTTACTTGCTTGCACCTTTCATTCTTCGTCATTCTTCTTTCCATCAACATTCCCCATCAATCCACACAATCCTCACAATCCACACAACCCACGCATGCCCATCACTGTCACCATCACCGTCACCATCACCGTCACCATCACCGTCATGCAATAAACTGCTTTGCTCGCCCCTTCGAGCTACCTACTAACCGAACACTTAATAATACTCTCACACCACCATCCAAACCTTCCACTGCGCACCACCACCGCTCGACGTTGCCACTCCTTAGCTGACGTCGGTCATTCTTCATCATCATCATCATCTTCTTCTTCTTCTTCATCGTCATCAATCATCATGAACTCGGCCCTTCCTCCCGACCCCTACAAACTGCTTGGGGTTACAAAAGATGCAAAGCTACCCGAGATCCGGAGCGCCCACCGGAAGCTGGTTCTCAAATGCCATCCAGATAAGGTGCAGGACGCCACTCTGAAGGCCATCAAGCAAGACGAGTTCCAGAAAGTTCAACAAGCCTACGAGCTACTCAGCGATGATAACAAGCGGTTACAGTACGACGAGCAGGTCAAGCTGTTCGAGTTGCGGAAAGAGATGGGACGAGGCAATCCGACGCCCAGAAGCAACCCGTTCGAGTACGAGGTCAAGACGGCAGAGCCCAGATCGAACTCGTACGCCCGGCCCAGTCCGAAGGTGTACTCGTATTCCAACGCCCCGAGATCGAACGAAGAGCTCTATAATGAACCGAGACATGTGCCTCGGAAATCCGCGAGTAACGACTCGTCATCGGAGCGGAGACGTACGGCCGCGAGGGAAGAGGAGAAGGAGATGAGATATCGAGAGACAAGGGAAGGATCCGCGCGGAAAGCGGAGGAGGAGAGGTTGAGGCAGAAGGAGAGGGACCGGGACGCCAAGAAGGCACATGGCGAGAAGAAGAAATCGAGAGAGAAAGACAGGAGAAGAGGCACAGACGACAAGCCGCGCTCCCGCCAACAAACCTACGTGGAGGATGACTCTTCCGAGGATGAGGCCTACCGTGCCGCGAGAGCGTCCGAGAAGAAGCAGAGGCTGAGAGCGGAAGAGGAGATCCGGGCTCGCCAGGCCGAGGCCGCCGCTGCTCACGAAGCGCGTCGTGCGCAAGAGCAACGGAAGCCCAAGGAAGCCCCCATGACCGAAAAGTGGAACGACCACAAGGATTTTGCGGGGGCCTATATGCAAGCTGCCCGCCGAAAGGTTGTGGTGGAAGCAGAATCCGTAGCTCATCCCGGAATGCGAAGAGCTGAGACGTTCGCCGCTTCCTCGTCGCCTTCCTACAGCGTTCGATACGCGGCCCCCCCCCAACCACAGTTTGCCGAGGAGGAAATGCCCAAGCGATCATCCGCCACCACGCGCAAGGAGTCCATCCGGAGGTCCACGGAAACTCCAACGAAATCATCCAGCCGGAGGAGATCCCCACCTGCAGCGCAGCCCCACGATCCTATTATCGTCGAGCCACCCTCGCCCTCATCTGCCCCGCGAAAACCTCCGCTTCAGTCGTACTCTTCAGCGCCCCCAAACCTCGTGCGACAAGTCCCTTTTCGGGCCAAGACGCAGCAGGACTATGCCCGACCAGAGCCCTCCATCCATCCTCCTCCTCTTCCACGGCCGCAGCCGTTCCCGTCTGGCGATCGTGGTAGGGACCGAGGCAGCGGTGCCAGCAAGCTGAGAAAGGACTACACCTCGGATTCGGAACCTGATTCTGCTCCATACCACACGCAGCGGCCCCATAGTCCCCATCGTCGATCTGGGGACAGTTCACGGGAGAAAACTCGTTACATCGTTGAGAACGGTAACCTCTTCGCGGTGGCCCCTCGATCCCACCGCTCCGAAATGCGGAATATTGATGCGGAATATGCTCATGACCAAGGCGAATCGCCTCGGGGTACCCCAGGCAAACGACCTCCTCTGTCCCGCAATCCAGGTAGTAGCGAACGACCACGTGGATCTAGTCGCGCATACACAACTCAAAACTACACTTCCGTTCCTGAGGTACCAGAACCGGTGATACTTACTACGGCACATCGCCCCAAGATGACCCGGGAAGGAGGCAGTAGCTACAGAGTTGGTTCGAGGGGTGCTCCTGTAGCCGCGTACGAAAATATTTCCTACGCGAAGACATATGCTCCCGAACACGTTATCTACTCGCCTGCGGCGGGTATTTATGACGGTGCGCGGAGAGGCAACGACGGACGAGAAAGAGACTACTACTCACCGTACCCATCTCGGCCTACCGTCTACTAGCCTCACCGACGCTGGCAGGAATGTCCCCGCCCTCCCCCTTTGGCTGAGACTAGATTCCCGTTGAGCGACGCGGCGCCCTTGACGAAATGTTCAATTCTTGTACACGCTTACAACACGAAAACCCATGATACAGTAACGACGGACCGCGCTGTCCCACTTCTCAGCCCAGCAGATCTTCCTCTTTTTTTTTTTTTTTTCCCATTTCACGAACGAACAAGACACCACAAATGCACATAACGATACGACGGGCACGGTTAGGCGCAGCATGGCTTAGCATGGCTTTGGGTGGAAAGCCCCGTTTTCTGATTTCATTACGGACATTCACTGGATTTCCTTGGCCTTTTGAGGATACGTGGGGTACAGGCCTGCATGCTTGTTTGCGGTGATGCATCACGTCGGTCGTTTTTCGGTTCTGCATTAGTCGTTCGTTCGCTCTTGTACTTTACAGTCCCCACTCCTTCTCTGCTGTCGAGGGAGGGGGGAGCCAGGGGTGGAGATGTGGAGATATGGAGTTGTGGAGTTGCTCTCTTGATAGTGAGTGAGCGTGGTGAGACGAGAGACGAGGGGAGAGAGGCGAACCGAGAGCAATGGCGGATGGGGTGGTACGATGTGACGACGAGATGAATGGATCATGACGAGCCCTCTGGTACCGCTAGCTTAAGCAAACGCGAGCATTTGAATGGACTTTATTTTCGATTCTCTTGACACGCCTATCAGACCATATCTTTTCGTTATTTGCTAGCTAGAATGGGTTGCTGATGCTGAACTGCTCCTACCCCTATACAGTGACTGACTTACTTCGCGGGAGTGAGTGAGCATTCGATCAAAGTGCGACTGACTAATGTATTTCTTGTAGCCGCGAGCTAGCTGCAAATCAGGCCAAGGCCAGGCCACATCCACATCATCCAAGCAGTGACATAAAAGTGAGGTGGTAATAGTCGTAAATAGGTGGTGGTCGATAGGGTGACGGAGGGTGGTGGAGGTTTTCTCGTTTTCATACATGCTTTGCGGGGGATGAGGAGGGGGGTCCTCGAGTGATATATACCTGGCTGGCTGCCTGGCTGGCTGACCGGAGGCCAGAAGGAAAGAACTGGATACTGCTGCTGCTGAACTTTGAAATCTTACGCGGAAAACATTATTCGAACACAAAAGGCATGAAAGTGGCTGGCTATCCGAAGAGTACCGGTAGTCAGAGGTGGAGTCGTTCCTGGCTAGAAACACGGAAAATCTTCGGCTCCGCACGGGTCGGACTTGACGTCAAAATTCATAAGGAGGACCAACGACCTCCATGTACCAACCGCCTGACTATCCCATACCAGCGCTAGGCAATGAGCTCCCCTCATATATGCCTAGCATGCCGTCGTCGACTCGGCCAGCTGCGCCCACCGAGAGTGGTACAGTGGCGATCTCGAGCCACCTTCATCTCGCTCAGCAGCAACAAACCGCCAGCTACCAGAGACGTCAGACCGCCCGAGGGAACATCGAAGGAAGAGGTCCGGTCCAGGCCCGCGGATGGGAGCCACGATGATCTTGTGCGTGTCCGGAAGATAGTATCGCAGCCCACTCCGGGCGATGTCCTCGAAACGCTGTTCGAACAGACTATCCAGCCGCCGTCTGCGCGAGTGGCCACGAAAACATTGGACGACCCGCAGAGAAGCAAGGACTTGTATAAGGCTGTCGAAAGGTTGAAGGATATGGTTGCCAGCTCGCACCCAGTGCGAGATGCATGGGCCTTTTTTCTCGAGCATTTCGGCCCAGAAGCGACGGAAGCCAGGATTGGAGAGTTCTCCAAGCAATCGCGAGTACCTGCGTACGTGGTCTCGACAGCGTACAGCCTATTGAATAGGTTCATCCAAGCCAAGAGTAAAGACCCCCTGTCTCCGTCTCTCCCCAGTTCTACGGAAGTCTTGAAAGTTTTTCACCAGATAGGGAGCCTTCGAGGGCGAGAGTGGCATAGACTGGTGTCTATCAATCTCCAAGCGCTTCTCAAACTGAGGCAGCAGCAAGCGAAAGATTCAGAGAATGAGAATCGTCTCTTTGCGGACCTCCTTGGTCTTTGGAACCTAGCATCTCGAGATCTTTCCCAGCTCACCAAATTTCCCGCCATGGAGTCATCTGCCGTCTATTGGTCAACTTTACCTCCCGTTCTTCAGAGGGATGCGAATTTCATCACCAAGAAACAACCCGGTACAAACAAGGTATTTGGGCTTCTCGTGCCTATATTTTCCATGGGAGAGATAGATTCGATGCCTCTCCCAATCCTTACACTGGCTTCTTTTGGCGTTTTCTCGGAACGTTCGACAGCCAGAGACGCTCTGCCTATTGATATCACCCCACTCCTGATAATCATTGGCCGAGTCATCAATACTCCCGAACTTGATCTTGGTCGGTACTATGACATGGCACAAAACGCAAATCTCTCTCTTGTCACAGAATACGTCAAGAGCAACTGGCCATCTATAAAACAAAGAGCCTCGGAAGTGTCGCAGTTGGCTTACTCTCCTGTCGACAAGACTCTTTCAAAACGCATGTCAGATTTACAATCCCTGGATCCCACGACGAGATTCAGTTTGCGACAGGTGCACATTGGCACCATGCATCGACGACTCTTTAACGCTATGCAGCGGAAAAATCTCCGCGAAGTGGATGACCTCTGGTCTGATGTAGTCAAGTGGCCTGTTGACACGACCGGCGCGAGCACACTAACATCTGGATCAAGCCGAGGCATTTTGACAATCCACTTGGTCAACTATTTCATGTTGATATACATGACACTTCGTCAACCAAATCGTGCAATCGATGTTTGGAACTTCACGATAAAAAGCGGTATGACTCCAGATTGCAAGACCTGGACGTCTATGCTCGACGGCTGTAAAGCCGCCCGTGATGGTGAAGCTGTAAAGCAGATTTGGTCCAGGATGCTAGCGTCCAAAATCGTACCAGACAATCATCTCTGGGTCTCGAGGGTTAGCGCTCTTATCCATTGCAGAGATGTCGATTCTGGAATTGCAGCAATTGATGAGATGGGGCGCCTGTGGATGGAGGCAGCCAGATTAAAGCATCCAAGCATGCCCCGATCTGAGCTGCAGTTGGTCACTGACGTTACCGATGTCGTAAAGCCCAGCATCGAAGTCGTCAATGCCGCAGTCCATGGTTTACTAGAGCTGGGTATGACAGGTGCTGCGTACAAGATTCTCGCATGGGCTGGAAAATTTGGCGTTGCTCCAGACATTATAACCTATAACACCCTGCTGCGGCAACTAATTAAGGGTGGCCACACGAAGGAGTCCATGGCGTTGTTGCAGCGTATGCAAAAGACAGGTATTCAAGCCGATGAGTATACCTTCACCATAATTCTGGACGAAACGCTCGGCGATATGGAAGGGCTCAGTCCAGAAGAGAGTATCGAGATTGTCCAGAGCATCTTTGAAGATATGGTTTCCGCAGGGGTTATGCCAGGTACTCCCATCTATAGCAAAATTATTCGTCAACTGCTTGACGGAGAGGGTGGCGGAAACATGGCCGCCGTCGACGCCGTCTTAGCTTACATGGCCAAGCAGAATAGGGATCCCGGCCACGTAATTTTCACGATGCTAATGAATTATGAATTCACCCGAAAACCTCCAAATTTGGACGGAGCAAGAAGAATCATCGAGCGTGCGACGGCGACTGCCGGTGGTACCGATGAGGTTTTCTGGAACAGAGCGATCGTGGGATATGCCTCCGTGGGTGAGACCGGGCCAGCCTTGAGGATTCTTGGAAGGATGCAGGACAGTATGGGCAAGGTCGGTTGGAAATCCATGCGCGCAGTGTTGTTGGCTTTGATCGATAACCAGCAGATGGAGTTGGCCAAGAAACTGGTAGACAACGCTGTCATAGACAATGGTGGGCCTTTCCCAAGTACGGATACCCGTGGCATCGAGCGTCAGGCTGGTTGGAATTTCTGGACGTTGGCTCGCGAATACGGTCTCGTCGAGGAAGAGCGGCATCTGAAGGAGTACGAGACGCCGAAGCTGACCGAGGAAACGAAGAAAGCCCAGGAAAATTTGTAGTAGAAGCCCGGTCGTGTAAATTAGTGTCGCGATACCGTCTCACTCAAGACCCGTGAATCGCTAGCAGGTGCGACAAGTGGCAAGAATGCTCTGCCTTCCAAATCCGAGTATGCATCAGGTATCATTGGACCCGATTTGACAAGTGAACTCGACCGACCTTGACGCTTCTGCCACCCACGTTCCACGAAATTTCCAACGCCGTCCGAACTCCCGACCTGTAGCCTACATTCTATGAATCTTGCTCTACGTTACCACCAACTATCCCAATGACTCTCTCCAAGTCCTCCACTTCCCCTTTCCCAAGTTTCCGTCCCTCGCCTTGCCACTCCCCGTCCCTGACCTCCCCCATCTCTCCAAGTTCCAGCCCTCTGACGTTCTCCAAATGCCTTCTCGTCTCCTTCTCCACGAATTCCAACCTCTCTCGCCTCCAACTCTTCTCCTCCTCGCCGATCAGGCCCGCCTTCCCATTCCCATCCTTCAACTCCCCCAATCTCGGGCCCAGATTCTCCAACAGGCTCTTGAGCGCAGGGAGCTGCGACAACGCGAAGCTCGCCGTCGTCGTAACCGGCTGCCTCACATCCCCCGTCAACTCGCCCTTGTTATGCAAGAACGCGAAGGCCGGGTACGGCGCCTGCTCGCCCTCGGCCGCGCCGGGCTCCAGCTTCGCCACCCCCCCGCCGCGGCTCCGCAGCAGGGCCCTCAGCGTCCGCAGCGTGGCCTCGTTCCGCGCCCTCTCGGCCACCAGCAGGGCGTGCAGCTTCTGCGTCTCGCGCAGCCGCCGCCGCTGCAGCGTCACGCTCGCGACGTCGGCGTCGGCGTCGGCGTCAGCGTCGGGGGCAAAGTGCAGGCCCGCGTAGTGGCTCAGCCGGACCCAGTCCCGGACCTCGGCCGGCACGGTGAGGATGTTGCGCAGGGCGTAGATCTCGAGCCGGTCGAAGTTCTTGTCGATCTTGGCCTCGAGGAGGGTCTCGAGCTGGTGCACCCCGTTCTCGATCTCGTGCTTGGCCGTCTCGGCCGTGGCGGCGGCGGCCTCGGGAGTGGTGGGCGGGGGGAGCGTGAAGCCTAGGTCGGCCGGGTGGGCGGCGAGGAGGCCCTTCTCGACGGCTTCGGAGGCTTTGAATGCTAGGACGTTGATACTGTGGTGGGGGCGGGGGGGAGTCAATGGATGATGTCTCGCGACGGCGCTCACGGCCGTGGCCTTGGATGGATACGTTGACTGACTGACCTGTTCACAATGTCGTCAATCAAGGCCGCGGGCCGATACGTGAGATGCTCGGTCAGCAGCGTGACGTCGGAATTGACGGACGCGCTCATGGTGCTGTGGGTGTAGTGTAATGTAGAATTATCTGGTGATGTTGATTTGATTAGATTTACTCGGGGGGAGACGCGACTGCAGGGTCTTGGGCGCGTCTGCCAACAGCCCCCACCTCCTCGCTAACCTCTTATCGATCTCTCCTAAGTACGGTACGCGTAGAAAAAGGTATCCGTCTCTGGATACATTGATCGATTCGCGAGTAAGCAAAAGCTTTTATTTCATTTCATTTCTTTTCTTTTTTCTTTTTTTTTTTTGTTAGCCACTCACGAAGTAACGAGAACCTGGAATCAGGTTAAAAGCAAGCAAGGGCTCACGGGGGTAGGTACTGTAGGTACTGTAACTGTACGGAGGAGGTTCGGCGGTTAGGTTCTCCGACCCGCTTTGGACAGCTAGCTTAGGTAAGCGCTACAGTCAGTCAGTAGGTGGTACGGTACGGTACCTATGCGGTGCCTCGCTGAACGCGAGCGTCTACCGGCACGCTCCTTCGTACGGTATGTTACTATTGGTGGGCTGTCGTCGATGCTGAGGGGGACTTTACGAAAGGTGGAGGAGATGATGCTTTATTTATATATAATTTTTTCTTTTTTCTTTTTCTTTCGGCTGAAAGTTTCAAAGGGGGTGAGGATCTATCTGAACGTCGGGATTACCGTACCAGAGCTTATTCTCGACGGCGGATACCGCACGCACACTCCAAGCGAACGAGCCGCGCACCGGCTCCAGCGTTGCGCAGAGCCTCATCAGGTCAAACTGCCAGCGAGAGAGAGAGAGAGACGTGTTCGCTCGCTCGCTCGATCCGCTACGCATCGGAACTTCAAAGGCGGAAGAATCATTCATGCCATTAATTGCCCTGCTCTCTACCTATATATAGATCTCCTCACCCGTCCCCAGCGCAGACCAGCAGCCCCTCCTCTCGTCTCCGCGGCCGGCCGACCCCTTAACCATTTCTCTCGCGCATGACCCAGTAGGTGGGTTGGTACGTTGGTACAATAAACAGCCTGCTGAATCATCTCCCTGGGTAACGCCGTGTTTCCTGTCCTGCGCACCGCGTGGCGG